ATAGGTGTCTATGTAAGAATTAAGACAGGGCAGGTATTCCTCCCTTTTTAGGGTGCTGTCTACAACCATTGGATCAGAGAGGATGACTGGAGGATGGACGGACTGAAGGACCAATCTTGGGAGAATTAAGTTTAAACCACAATTCCTCCCCAACAGTTTTTGGACCAATCAGAGAGTAACATTTTTTCATATAAATGTTGTGTACTGCTAAGTTGAATTTAGTCTTTTCTGTTTATCCTAAACAGATGGGATCCATGTGCACATGCTTATTTTGATACGTTAATGCATAATAAATTTCATATAGAGAAATATATCTTTTTATTAGTCTTCTCTTTTCAAAAGAATGGACCTTTTTTCTCACAGGGGTATGCCTATACGAAATAGAACAAATGTGTATATTTAATGATGTTCCTAGAAGGATGTGTGAAAAATAGGTAACGGCTGTTTGCAGCCCTCTTTGAGTGCTGTCTCTAGTCGAATCCAAGGCCTGGTGCATGACCAGAGGGAACTGACAGGCCATAATTGCATAAAGAAAATATCACAGGCTCATTAGGGCTTCAAAGCTGTCTTGATGTCCTTTCTCAAGAAGGTTGAACATGATGCAGAAACACACACAAAAACATGACAAGTTGCTACAGTTAATAAATAAAAGGTTTTTTATGATGCTTTAGCATGTTTTAGATGCAATTTTCATTATCTTTGGAATTTTTATAGATTTCACAACTAATGCTGCGTTTCATACACCTCGGATTTACTATAAACACTATACTGCATCCCAATAAGTTGCACTGTGAAAATAACGAATGTGTTTTGCAATGTTATGTCATGTTTAGTCAACTTTAGCAATGCATAGCTATTCTATAAGCCTACCGAGGATTCCTAACGGGTTAAGAAAATCATCAGATCTCACAGAGCGGACACAAAACCTATTGCTTTTTATGTTGAAGGATGTAACCCAGGTCCCTTTTATTTTTATTTTTATTTTTTTACTAATTTAAGGATTTTATAATAGCCACACTGCTAAACTGCTGTACTAATAAGCTCATTTGAAAAACAGTTATCTGTAATACACCACATGAAAAGTTTCACCATAACGTAAATAAATATGGGAACCTATAACCTGAAAGCTTTTCGAAATCGAAAGTCGTATTTACCATTTTCTCCAACGACGTGAACAAACAACCCACTCGAGATAACATGTTTACGTAAGACCTGCACAAGTTATGTCACGTCGCCGGAACATACCAGAGACTCCTCCGAGGCTGAAAAATTAAGTCGATGTGGAAACGCGAAAGCCTGCTGTTACTCGAATGGCCACTTGAGGCTGGCTCCAAAACGGAGTCAGTCACAGTAGACCTCCCATGTTAAAATCCCAAACTTAACTGCAGAAATAAACGTTACCAGCCTGGTACAAAAACAGCGGTGTTGTCTATAGCTAATTTACCGTTCCATGAAAACGGTATGGGGTGATTTTTTTTTTATTACTCGTCCGCTTAAATTATATTGAGACTAAAAGTTGTGGTTAATTAAGGGCGTGATCGCCTTGAGTGACAGGCGGGAGGGTCCCGCCATAGGTGTCTAGCCAACGTACGCTCCACCTCTTTTGTATTATCCGTAGCAGGCGGAGAGAATGAGTACCAATATGGCGACGACCAGAGCTGACCTTCAATACAGCGCTTCAAAAGAAGTTGTTGACGTCACGGTGGGTTGTAAACCGTTTATATAAGGTCCGTGATTACTTCCTGTCTACATTATTGTTGGATCTGTACTCCAAAGGCTCACCGGAGAATTTCTTTACAGGCAGTATCAAATAACGACACATTCTTTTAAGAGGTAAGCATACGTCCAGCCAGCCTAGTGTGGCGTAATGGAAGTTTTTTGTCGGAAGTCTAACTGATCTTCGTTGTGACATTTTTTCCTTATTCTCCGGGGTAACGTTAGGCTATTTGTCATTAGGCCTCTGATCAAAATGTAAATTACGTCAAAAGATTATAATTTGTTTGTCATAACTGCCTAATGGTTGGTGTGCCTTGGAATATGCCGGGTGCGTCGTTACATAATGTTAGGCCTGAAAAGGATGTCTTCCTTTTTGCTCTTCACACACAACCTCTGACCAGTTTAGCGTTAACGTTATGTGCTATTAGCTCTGAAGAGCCTGTAACAAACCAGTTTGGGAGATGAATTTAAATAGTAACGTTAACTTAACTAAGTTTATCCACAACTGTAATTTAGGTTTACAAAGAGGGCTAAATGAATGTCACCTACACCGGATGAGCTAACATGCTGTTTTATTTCATTCGGTGAACATGTTTCAGGTTCACTTTTATTCATAAAACCATAACCGTTTACATAAGTAAATATCAGGTTTAGTAATCCTGTAGCATTTGCACTAATACACATGTTCATCTTTTTTCCTCTTTAGTCAAGATGGCTGCAACTGAGGAGAATGAGTCCAAGTTACTGCGCAAAGTAAAGGAAAATCCGTTTGTCCCAGTGGGTAAGTATCTGCCTTCATGGTTACATCATGAAAAGAAAGTTAGATAGCTTATAACAATTGCTTTAAATGTAAAACTTGTCAGCTGTTACAGAATTGCTTAGTCTGAAAGTATGGTATTAGTGGGCATTATATACGGTCAGTTTAGCATTTTGTTGTTGTTGTAAAAGTCATAATTACACCCTGATTTTGTCATGGTCATCAATGTATATTTAGCTGCCTAATGTTTCTTACAGGGATGGCTGGCTTCTTTGGCATTGTTGCTTACAGACTGATGAAGATGAAAAACCGTGGAGACATAAAAATGTCTGTGCATCTCATACACATGCGTGTAGCTGCCCAAGGCTTTGTGGTTGGAGCCTTGACTGCAGGTATGTAGTCTGGACTGTCATGTTTCTGCTTCAATCTAAGTTGCATGGCTTTAGTTTGTTCTAAACTACTAAGGTATTTGTTTGTTTGCTTTTACATTGTCATGCATTTTTGATTTCTTATTATCACAGGTGGTTTGGACCAAAACTTTTATAATTAAAAAAAAGCAAATGTCTGTATTTTACCTGTTTTAATTAAATTATGACCATTTTTATTTTTCAGACATGAAAGTCTGAGGTGTAGTTTTATAAAAAGATTTGAGTTGTTGTGTAACTTATGCCTCTGTTTCTTTGTTTTTAAGGAGTCCTGTATTCTATGTACACAGACTACATTGTGAAACCCAAAGAACAGAAAGCAGTTGCATCAAGTGAACACTGACTCTTGAAATGAAATGACTCTGAAATGGTATATCCCTTAATATTATGTCATTTTTAAGGTGTGTAAAACATCTGTTCTTTATAAATGTGTCCTAATGTTTGATTGTGCACATCCCTTCAGCAGCTCACCACGACTGTGCAGTAAAGTTGATTGTTGTGTCTTGTTGCTTTTCTTCTTTTGTCTCTCCTCTATCCACTCACCCCAACCGGTCGAGGCAGAAGGCCGCCCACCAAGAGCCGGGGTCTGTCGGAGGTTTCTTCCGTTAAAGGGAGTTTTTCCCTCCCCACTGTCGCCAAGTACTTGCTCAAGGGGGATTTGTTGGGTTTTCCCTATGTAATAATATTGATAACAGTAAGGTCTACACCTTACTTTGTAAAGTGTCCTGAGATGACTTTTGTTGTGATTTGGCGCTATACAAATACGATTTGATTTGATTTAAATAGCTGTTGCTTATTGATGACACTTCTAAATAGTATCCACTTGTTAAGTGTAATGTAACTTTTTTAAATGAGGCATCCCTGAGAGTTAAACAAATAGTCAGTGCTGCCATTCCACCTGGTTGCATAATAACTAAACTTTATCCTGGTATTTTCTCCTTCCTATCACAAGGAAAGCGATATGGTGACTCTCACAGGTGACTCATGATTTTTTTTTTTTTTTTGATTCAGATCTATTGAAGTCATGGGGAAAACAACACTGTGGCATATAGAGAGGAGGAGAACAAGCGGCAGTCTGGAAACAGAATGCACAGGTATCCACTTAAGTGGATACCTGAGGGGCAAGCTATCATTTCTGTATTGAGAAGGAAGATTACTGACCTCAGCTGTGTAACAGTGGTTACACAGCAGTAACTTTTGGGGGCAGCTGTGGGTCAGGAGGTAGAGTGGGTCATGTCCTAACGGGAATATTAGCGGTTCTATTCCCAGCTTATTCAGTGCACATGTCGAAGTGTCCTTGAGCAAGACGCTGAACTTGTGATGTCACCAGTGCGTGAATGTGTGAGTGCTTGGGAGTGGGAATGGGTGAATGGTCAAATAGTGTGAAAGCGCTTTGAGTGTGCTGCAATGTACAGAAAGGAGCTAATATAAGTATAAGACCATTTAACTTATATCATCATAAACCACACCCTGTGGTGTGCTTAAATAGATGCCTTTAAAGTTATTCAGAGTTTTGAAACTTTTGTGCAAATAAACTTGTATGTAAAGAGCTGCTATTTTTGGCTGAGTATTTGGTCTTTTGTTTCATACAGTATAGTATTATACACTCAACTGCTAGTTTATCAAATACACCTTTCTGCTGTCAATAAATCCTGTCTAACAGGTATGGTAAGTGGATACTATACAGAAACACCTGTCACTATGATACAGCAGAATTTAACCACACCATAAACTGCAGCTTTCCCAATGACTAAGCAAAAACTGAACATTACAACAGGCATTAAAACAGTTTATTTTAACTTGTTTTATTGAGCTTTACTTAACAACCTTGTTTGCAATTATAACATAATTTACTTTTCCAGTACATCTTGGTAGATGGAACATTTTACTGTTTATTTAACTGTGCTCCAGTAGGTGTAAAAAAAAAAAAAAAAAAGTATTTTTGAACATTAGTCTTCCAATCCTATCCAGTAAAATCTCTCTTCTGTCCTGACCTATCATAGTTTTATGCTTTGAATTTTTGAATTACTTTCCAAAGGTTCAGTTTTAACAGGAAATGCACTACATCAATGTAAGGTAACAAGATTCTTTTATAGATGCCATTATGACTTTAAACTCGTGATAGTATTTCAATAGAAAACAATGAGTCAACCTGACAGGTAGTAAATTACCCAAAAGCCATGCAGCAGGTTACACAGTGAGCTAGGCCTACATAAAAATTAAGTGGAGAGCACACTGCCACATAGGCTACTTGACACTAGTGGGCACATTATTGTTGCTCTCATCATTCCTCATTCATTTTATATAGTTATTTCAAATCATAATCCCTACCTCCAAACCTAGGTTGAGGGATTATCCTGGTGCCTATTTGTAAAACCTGTATGGGAGTCCTAAGCAGGTGAAAGACTATTTCACTTTTCTCATTCATGATGTTATAGCACCTAGAGTAATTAATTTACATGGGTTTATGTATATAGTTAGTAAGCATATATTGACAAAACACATGTAGGCTAATTGTGGTTTACCTGGTATAACTCATAACTTGTTCTGTAATGACAATAACAAGATACCGCGATTGTGGGAAAAGTTGGCAACACAAATTAGGTTAATTTGGTAAAGTTTAGCTAGGGATACATATTTTATTAGTCGAGAGGGTTTGCACTTGTTCCCAAATTTTCTTACCCGGTGCTCGCTTCTTTTCATTCTCTATAACAAAATTAAGATATAAAAAAGGCAGCAGTGAACTGTTGGTGCGGCATGTAGCGCTATGAATACATTGTGGTTCCCGCGAGATCTTGTCCAAAGTCTCTGCAGTGCCTGTTGCTATGGATACAGCAGCGTCGCTATTAGCAAGGAAGCTGATACATTATCTAAATCTGTCTTACAACGTGATGCAGTGCAAAATAGGCTCTAATTTGTTTATAGCGTCTCTGCTTGGGCAAACGACAGGTGAACCATTTTCTCTTTATACAACCTATAGTTAGTAAGGAGTTAGACGACTAGGGTTAGAGTTCTGGTAGTCGCCATACGTACTGTATCTTCACAGTCATTCGTATTAACACAAACATCGCTAACAGTTAATTGCTGAGCACTTTACATATTAAATAGCCTATTGCTAATCATTGAATTTTTTTTAAACATTGGAGTAAGTTACGGCTCATTACTTCCCAAATTTAGGCTAGCAATGGGTTCATCAATAACAATCTCAAGCCTGACAGACATGTAGGCTACGCGGTTATCTTAAGAAGTAATGAAGAGAAGGATTGCTGCCTTGCATCTACTTCAACATGGATGAACACATTTGTTGAAACAAATATTTAACATTGGCCTCCTATAAGAATATAATGAATATAAGCCTAATCCAAAATTTGTGATATTACTGTAACCAAATCCCAGCATGATTTTTACTCAATATTGATTCCCACTGTCATTGTCCACCTTTCCTGTATACACTGACTGTTTTCTCCTCATGACATACATCATAGACCATGGAGCGTGATGATGAGATGAATAACTTGTGGCTTCAATTCCAAGCACTACAACAGCAGCAAGAGAAACGAAAATTGGATAGGAAAAAAGAGAAAGAACTGGGTAATCATAATGGTAGTGCTACCCAGGAGGATCTATCTAAACAAGACATTCAGGTAGACAGCCTAGGAGATAGGTGAGTCTCATAAAGGTTGAAATAAATGTTTATTAGCTTTGCTTTTACTTTGTGACTGTTTAAATTGCCTTGATGTTTTATTTGTTAAATTAAGAATATAAATTAGAAAAAAATAAGGCTGGAAATCTTTATCAGCTAAATGAATAATCTTAGGTGATCAATTAGAACATTCATGCTTGTAACTTGAAAATCATCACTCATTCATTTAGTTTTTATTTCATTGCCTTCGTAAAGACTGCTGCCACACACGAATCAGAAACTGCTAGACCAGCTGAGAGAGCTAAAGGATGAAAATGGTCGTCTCTTCAAACTTCTGAATGAAAAGGATTTTGAAATCAAACACCTGAAGAAGAAAAGAGAAGAAGAAAGACTGGCTTTAGCTGGTATATCACCTTAACCTTCACTCTTTTTGCACAGCAGTCATGTTTTATAAGTCACAGATTCCTCATGACTCACTCACTCACTTTCCTGTTTAGGCACATCGGGTTTGGCTGCAGATGTAGCAGCCACCAAGATTGTTGAGCTGTCCAAGAAGAATAGAGCGCTAACTGCTGACATTGAGCGAGAAAAGATTAAGTCTAAGCAAAACAGCAACCGAATCAAAGAGCTTGAGAAAGAGGTAAAAACATCTTGAGTTATTGAGTTAAGTGTATCACTTAATTTGATGTGGTGGATGTAGTTCATAATTTCAGCACAGAGCTGTTTAAGGTTTGTTTAAAACAAACCTTATATGTATGTTATAAATGTTGCTTATAATGTCATTTGTACATGATTTATTATGAATGAAAATAATGCCTTGCTAATTTCTGTAGTTGCAGGCTGCTTTGGCGCACTCTCCACCTGGGCAACAGATTGATAAAAAGTCACAGGATAAGAAGTTATCTGAAAACTGTGAGGTAATTATTGATATGGAAATTGACAAATGGTATATTTTTGTCTTCTTAACTTTAATGATGACAACTCAGTCTGAATCATGTATTGTTTGTTCACAAAAGCAGGAAAATCCAGTGGTGAAATCTCTACAAGAAAAATTAGCTGCTGCCCAGCTTAAAGCGACTGAATATCGCAACCAGGTTCAAGCCGCCAAACAGGAGCTGAAAGTAGCTCAGAAGGTAGTGAACTATCTTTGTTCCTGC